ATCCTGGCAAGGGTGCGTCCCGTAAAAATGGCCCGTATGGTCTCCCTAATTATAAGCCAATTATAATATGGTTTCAATTTGCATCTAGAGCGGTTTCAACACTACATAAAAGTCTAACGTATGCCTAAACTAAATGCCTAAATGTATGCAGACTTTTTAATGCTAAACAAAAGTAGCATAAATATATTAATGTTCATTTTCGTAATTTTTGTTTATGAACGAAAATAAGAAACCTTGTGCCCGATATTACTATTTGTGGGTAGAGCTCCATCTCTTCACAGAAGCGCCTCGAGGATTGAGGAACACCACTGTTCTATTGCCCCAGACTTTGCTGTTCAATCTGCTTTGTGTATTCCAGTGAAATAACCAGTTTCATGTGATTTCAAAATCTTTCATGAAGGATTTATGACCAGAGAAGATCAGACCCAAAGCAAATCTCTCTTTCTTAATTTTAATAAGCATTTTGATTGAGGCACCAGTAATTAGGGTTGGGTATCGTTCAAAAATTTTCGATATTGATACCGATACCTTGACTTCGATACTGGTTCCTGAACGATACTTTTTTCGATACCAATTTTATGAAATCAATTTTAACAAGATTACATTATCTAAAAAAAACAAAAAAACTTTGGTTTTATTTTTCAGCTTGTTGATGTTTATACAAACTCAAAGACTCATCTCCTGAGCCACTGCACAAAGGAACAAAATGTAACCAACACAATAAATCAGTGCAAATAGTTTTAATAAAGCTCAAATAGTCTTCAGTTTACACATCTGTTAGGCTACATTTACACTAGTTCATGTTCGTTTTAAAACGCATAGCTCAGACAGAATCATGATTCCTATTTATTTTCCACTGATTTACTGATGAGCATTAGCAGCTTCCAACGCTGTCTGCTTGTGTTCTCTCTTCCATGATCGCTGCTCTGACTCAGGTAATAACATATTTAATTTCAGCAACATTACATGGCCAAAACACACATTAGACGGCAATCGGAAGTTATTGCAAACACTCGATGGTGGTTTAAAGTGAGTTTTGAGTAAAAGCGGAATATAAATCTTATTTATTGTCTTATGTAGCATGATGCTACAGTGTGCATGAATGGTCACATAACATGCGCTTTCAGTCGTGTAACGTTAGTATGAACGGACATCTGCATATGATTGAAACTCCACGCAGCTCCCGTGCTACTCTCCATTGGAAATTAATGACTGAATGACCGGTCTGTCTCTTGTCGGAGATAGTGGAAAGCCAGCTTGAAACGCAGTGGAAATGCCAGTATGACTAGGATCGTTTTCATTTTAGAACATAAACGCACCAGTGATAATGTAGCCTTACATCTAAGGGGGCTGGGACGCATTCGCACTACAGCCTCACGTGTGCGCCACATCTCTGAGTGTAACCGGTGTAAACTAGTAGGTGGGTTCGACTTGACATGGACCGACTGTGCAGACCGATCGGTGTATTACAGTACCATGAGAGCTAAAGAGAGCAGACTGCTCCGTGCGCTTTTGAATCGCTCTCGCAGATGTCAAACACTGATCGATCTGCGCCGCACCTCTTCTAGTCGAAGGCTAGTGCTGCAGGCTTATTGGCTCACTGACGCTGATGAGATTAACCCCTTAGGTATCGAAATTTGATACCGAATGACGAGACGTTTTTCGATACTCAGTGGTATCGAGGTATTTCGGTCGGTGCCTAAAAAGTATCGAACTCGATACCCAGCCCTACCAGTAATACATTAATAAATCCCTATTACTCCTTTCATTACATGTCAGATTTACATGAAAACTAAGAAATTTTCCCAATAATCCAGCTGAGAGTCCAAACAGCTGATAAAAACATCGCAATAATCCAGAAGTAATCACAGGTCCACTACTCCAGTCCATAAATAAACATCTTGTGAAGTGAAAAGCTGCACGTTTGTTTAAAAAAAAAAATCTATCATTAAGGCTTTTTTTGTTGTTGGTTTGTTTGTTTGTTTTTGTTTTATTTCAAACCAATGCTTCCGGCTAAAATTCAATTCCTCTATCCATAACGCTTTCTCCAGTAGAATAGTTATCTTGTCCAACCCAATCTCATGGCAATTCGTACATATTTTATGAGGTGGCTAATTTGTATGAATTAGTGCGACCTTTTAGTACGATTTTTGCTAAATCGTATGTATTATATGAGTTCCCCAATTCGTATGAATTCATGCTCATTTTGTATTCGTATGAATTCGTATTAATTAATACGAATGACCTACCCCTAAACCTACTGGGGTCTAGACAAATCGTACAAAATCGTATGAGTGAGGTCGTACAAATTCGTACGAATTAGCCACCTCGTAAAATACGTACGAACTGGTCATGAGATATAGTTGTCTCGTCTGAATCAGGAAAGAAATGTGCACAGATCAATCACTTTTTACAAGCAAAAACAGTCCAAAACAGTTCTAAACAAATATGTCAGTGGATTTTGAAGTGAGAGGACAACAGGGAAGTGTCTCTGATGTAATGCTACATTTCTCCAATTCAGTTTTGATGAAGGAACAAGCTCATCTGCATCTTGGATGGCCTGAATTTGAGTAAATTTTCAGCAAATTAAATTTTTTTGGTGAAGTATGTGTGTGCCTTCATGACTTTTTGCCTTTTGTGGAACACAAAGTAAGATCATTTGAAAAGTTGCATGTAAACAAACAGTTCTTCAAAATATCCACTTTATGCTCTGCAGAATAAACAAAGTAATATGGGGGTTTGGAGTGACATGAGGGTACGAAAGATCTTTGTTCAAGCCCTTACAAAATGGTACAGTGTTTTGAAATTTAGCATGGTACTGAATGAACACCATGGTATTTTTAATTGGCTTCTCTTTAATTGGTGTAGCTGTTTTCATTTGTTAGCCTTGGCACATACACCCTAATAACCTTCAAATATATATAGTCTGATTATATATGCCCACGAGTGCTTTTGTTCAAAGCGCTGTGTGTGTGTGTGTGTGTGTGTGTGTGTGTGTGTGTGCTAGTGGTGGCAGCCTGTTAGTATTCTGCCTTGACGACTCCATCAGCCCAGTCTCAAGGTAGCTGTCAATCAGAATGCATCATTTAATTCAACAGCACTCCAAGGACTTTTCCTCCTGCAATGCCCATGACAGCACAGCTACGACTCTATTCACTGATATGCACGGTTGTATTTGCAATGTTCTAATAATTAGAGCGAGTGAGAAAGCGGATGTGGAGAGGAGAAGGAAAAAAACAGCAACAAGTCTCAGAACGCACACTGAAGATGGTTCATTTTCGAGAGCGGCACTGGAAGCGCGGGGCTTCTGCAACATGGTGGCACGGCGCTAAATAACAGTGACAACGCTGCATTCATGCTCTTTGGAGAGACGTGAATTCATTCTCAGCTCGCTCTAATTAGATTAATGGTGTTGTGGCATACAAAGTGGGCCCACTTCACATTAGACAACGTACGAATGAAGACAAACACTTATTTCAATTCCAGGCAGAGAAAAGCAGTGGCCAGGGTAGTTAGCATAGCCCTTTATGGTGCAATGAGATGTTAATTGTCTGCCATTACCTCTAAACTGCTTGCTTGTTGTATTAATCACAGCACTAATTGATGCAGGGATAGGAACGTAGCCACGAGCGAGAACGTGGAGGAGAGAAAGTTGTAGATGGTAGATAAAGGATCTATCGTGTGAACCATATGGAGATGGCATGGCTTTGAATACTCCTAAACATGCCTAGTAGCGCTTACTTTCCTTGATAAGTTCTGCAGTGAGGGATTTTTATTAATTTTTTACTAACACTTTTTAATTTAAGAGAAAGACACTTCAAAAGGGTGGTGAAGCATGAATACCAGATGCAATGTGTGTGTGTCCATATGTACTCAACACAGCGATGAACAACAGAGACATGAAAGAAACAAAGGGTCTTTGGTTATTAGAAATAACCTTTTTTATAAAGTAGAATAACCTTTTTTTATAGAGAAAATGCACACAAATAGCTATTAAATGTTATGCAGTGAGCAGAACTATTTTAAACTGAATTTGTTTCTATTTCTTATATACTGTAAATAATGTATGCATTTGATTTAATGATTACACTTTAAGTGAACTGCAAAAAGCAAAAAAAGTAATTGAAACAGTAAAAAACCTAAAAGAAGGGTGACTAACACCCCAAGTAACAACATAATACATATTATAAATAACTAAACACATACTTAGGATTTTTTGACATTTCTAAAACAGATTTGATTCTTGTGATCTGTAAATGATGTCAACTATGAAAAAAGAGGCATGGCTTAAAAATAAATATTTAAGATTATTTTAGGTAAAAAGTATAAAATGTGTTAAAAAAAAAATCACTCATGTCTTTAAACTGACACCCCCCTCATTTCCCTCAAAACTTCTATGACTTGTAGAAACTTATTTTCCTGTAGACAACAGTAAAATGCATAGTTATGATTCTTTCAGTTTTCTTATGCTACAATAACCAATGCTACAATATACAGTAATATTTTGAAATAATATTACATTTTAAAACAACTGTTTAATATTTTAATATATTTTATTTCTGTGATGGCAGCCTTGAGAACCTTCAGAAATCATTCTACTCTGCTGATTTGGTGCTCATGAAACGTTCCTTATAATTATCAATGTTGAAAACAGCTTATTAGTTTTGTAGAAACTGTGATACATTATTTTAAAGACTGACTGATTAATAGAGGCTCAAAAGAACAGCCTCTTTTAAAATAGAAATATTGTATAATATCATAAATATCTAATAACTAATATTTCAGGAATCTGTCAAAAACTTGTTTAAAACTAAACATTGTATTGCCATTTATTAGGCAAATAACAAACTGAAACTACTAAACAGTCTTTATTCACACATAACTGTTTTTATTTTGTAATGCCTCCTTTGGCTTCTATAACAGCTTGTATTTTTGCTGGCGTTGTGTTTATGTACTTTTCCACCGTCTCTGTTGTTATTGACTTCCAAATAGTTTCTAGCTGTTCCCAAAGACTTGCTTTTGATGAAACTTTTGTGCGATCTATCTTTGAATCCATTAAATCCCAACAATAATTATATTGTAACAAACACTACTGTGATTAACCATTACAGAAACATAAAAAATGATTTCACCAATACTGTTAGCTTAGGGCAGCTGTGGTACAAGCCTTAAATTGGGTGCTGGTCTAATAAAATTGTTAAGCACTAATGGTCAACGTTAAACAAAAGTAAGTTCAATGCACACAACACTTACAACCCCATTACTGTAGCAATCAGGGAAAGTCATGTACCACTTCACAGACCAAACACATGGAACAGAAGAGAGGAGGCACAGAGAGAAGAGAAGCAGCAAAGAAAAACAGAGGGAGAAGTTGGCTTTGTCATATGGAAGGGTGGAACAGTGAAAACAGATGAAAGGACCTGAAGTGAAGGAAGTGTTTAAAACAAGGCTGTGCGCACCTCAGGGGGCACCAGTGGCCACCTGCGTGGGGGACGTGGGGTCCAGCACCTCATGACTCCCTCCCTGCAGTCACCAACACCTGGCTGAAGGTACGATTCACAGCCTTAAATTTATGCCTGAGCTTATATCATGCTACATTTTTTATGCTGGAAAAGAACTGAACTCTATATGCATACTAATGTGTTACTGGAATTTGGACTTCAAAAGAACCAGAAAAAAAGATAAGGAATAAACAAAAAACCTTGGTCAATGCTCTTGAATTTCTTTCTTTCTGTATTTAAAAATTCTCAAACAGGCCACCTAAATACATTGCTGCCTCATACTTTCATGAAAGAAACCAATTTTAAAATGCATACTGGTGTGTCAAAATCAATTTTAAAGAACCTAAAAGAGTCACTCCTAATCCTGGACACAAGAACTAGAGTGTGTTCACGAGGTCATGTTTTTAAAGCAACCCGATCCAGCTAAGCTGAAACTAACTACCTCAAACACACACAAAGCTCTACTTAAGTCTTCACACATACAGCATATTTAACTGCCAGATCCAGTCAACTTAGAAAAAACAACTATCTTACTATTATTATTAAAAAACAGACACTGAAACGGTGTTCCTACAACAAAATGAAAGTTTAAAATCCCTCCAGCACAACATGTTGTTTCTCTAACAGTTTGTCCACAGTGTCGGCATTCAACTACGCAGGTGTCTGGAGTTTTCTGGACTTGTCTTTAATATGTCTTTTTGTCCCTGTCAAATCACCCTGAATTCACTGCTGTTGATGATAATAATAGTGTTGGGTATCCATTGATTTGCCGCGGCCCCTTATTGTGAGCTAACGCCAGAAGACACTCATCTCTCCCTTTAATTAGGCCTTGGACCAGTTTCTTTTTTGATGTAGTTACTCTGTGGATACAGACAGCCAATGCCTTTGTTAGCGCCCTTGGCTTTGGCCTTTGAAAAGACAGGTTCTGACAACTTATTTGCAAAGGAGACTAAAGGAAATGAAATGTCTTACAAAAAGGATCTGAAAGGCGTTTTACAGCGCTTTTGCTCATTATCCACTTTGTAAAGTCACGGAAAACAACTTCTCTCTCTGGTTAATCTCCAGGTGAGGACATATGAAGATGCTACTTAACACTGATACTGGAAACTGTAGCAAAACAGGCACAATGATTGCAAAAGAATGCAGCAAAAAAAGAAATTATAAACAAATTATACAAGTAAAAAAGCAAACACACACAAAATGGAAGGCAAACCCATCTAGAAAATAGAAAAATAGCATGTGGCCAGCGCACAGTGTCTTCATGAGTTCCCAGTCATTTAATCCCAGTCTAATTACCTAAGCACTGCTGCCCGCTTTCAATCAGAGTTAGTGAAAATGACATACTCCTTTGTTCCTTTCTCATATCACACATGATGCACTGTCATTCTTCTCGCCGCTGAGCCTAGAGTAGTATCTTTCCCAGGCTGCCATCTGTCCCTGGCGTGGCCCACTTATGTGGGAGACCATAATTCTCCCCCGTCATGGTGGCTGCACATATTTCATGCTTGCTCCTGGCTTTCTTTATGCCAACTATTAGCAGCTTTGAGGACTTTGGGTCAGCTTAATAATCATTTAAAGGTTTGTTAGGCACTGACCCTGCAAAATGGCCCCCCAAATTGAAAAGTTATTCACCATATCCTTCATCAAGTGTATCTTCACAGCGCCTTTGTCCTCAAAATAGAACTTTTCATCAGGGATGCTTCCTTTTTTAAAGATGCTATTAGATTTGGGATGCTCAAGTTAATCTTAACATGTTAAGCAGTGATCAAGCTGTAATTGCATTATCATATTTAATTTGGGCTCAATAGTCACTAACTCCAATTCTTTTGAATTATAATTATGCCTTGTAAAAACAACTAGTCTCTATGTATCAGTGACAGTCATTAGTGTTTGGCAGAAACATTGTAAAAAAGATATATAGAAATAGGTGTCCACAGAAGTTAAAAAAAATAACAGTTTGCATTTTTACTGACTGAATTTATTGACTGAACTTAAAATGACTTAATTCCATTGCCTTGACTTCCAATTTGCCCTGAAATCATCATAACAATTGTGTTATTTTATATTGGTTATCTCAAACTACTAAAAAAAATGACATGAATAATGACAAAAAATGGCAAGACAACACATTAAAAGTGCTATGTGCAGACCTCAAGAATTGGCACACGAAACAAACTGGAAATACACTGATCATTAGAGGAACACATCCTGACATCACAATACAACACAAGTTGCTAGTGCATGCTGGGAAAAGGGATGAATAAGACTGAACTACTAAAACATTTTTCAATTTGGTCCTACTTGAACTCAAAAAGCACCGAACCAACAAGTACCTGCAATGCTTGTTGTTTCAACTTTAAAAAAATAAAAATAAATACTGCATAAAAAAGCTGCATCAAGTCGCATTACTTATGCTCCTGAAAGTCGTAAGATGCAAAAACAAGTAAATCATAAAACTACAATAATAATAATAATAAAAAAACTCTTTAGTTATTATTTAACATTATCACTCACACAATACACAAAATGTACGATCAATAGATTGAATGGAAAGCCTGCCAGGGGGTGGCAGCCTGATACATGTGAATCATAGATGCCTCTATCTGTGTCTGCATGACTGGGTGAAAGTCATGGTCATATCATAACTCATATTTAATGCAAGGAAGGGTGAGAGTTCAGACCTTGTCCTCATTACATGGCCCTCATGACCTTTAGCATGTTGCCCATCACTCTTGGACATTGCATCATCCTCCCCAGCTGTCCGGCTGTTGTGTATATAACTGGTGCGGACACCCTTCATACAATTCAGGAGAGGACTAGGAAGTTCCATCATAAAACCAATCAGGAAAAACCACACTGGGGACCATAAATCACAGATTTTTGAGGAGCACTTGAAGGTCTGGGAAGTGCACATTTCCCCATTATACTTCACAGGAAGCCCCACATTCTCCCTGAACCCAGGTCACATGGGGTCACAACCTTGGGAAGGCTATTGTACATATTTAACCATGGCAACCAAGGCATTAGAAACACAACAGCGTCCCCCATCCATACCCTCCAACACAGGTTAAGTCAAAAGAACTGTTTAGATGCACAATGTGGACTAAGTCAGCTGTAAAAACAGAAAATGGCAAGATAATGTCTTCTCAAGTTTGAATTCATAGGCTTTACATCTATATCGGAATCCTAAAATTGTCGGAGTGCTATAAAACACTAAAATAAAGTATAGATTAAAGTGCCACCTTCTTAAAAACAATATTAGCAACATTTTTGCAAGTTTTTAAAATGTCCTGCAGAACAATAAAGAGCAGGCAGTTAGATCAGCCATTTGCTTTCTTAAACCAATGTATTTGATCAATGTAAATAAATAAATCACAATATGAAATGTAATCTAATTTAGTATAAACTAACTTTACAATACCAACACTGTTAATGAATTGACATGAGCTGAATAATGATACTACTGCCTTCTGTAGAGCTGCTTATATCTGAATTAAACTTGTTTCGTAATTGATGAACTTTGACACAGCGAACTGAACTGAAACAACACTGAACTAAAGTGAGCTGCATGACACTAGTATCTTCAGTAGAGCTGTTTTACATCATAATTGATGGACTTTACAGCATTACCGCTGTTTTTTTTTTTTTTTACTGTTTATTAATGTGAAGCTGTTTGACACAATCTGTCCAAATCACTATTTAAATAAATGTGACTCACTTACTTGACTGTAAGTGTTCAGCTTGAAATAGGATCCCAGCAGCAAGGATACCAAAACTACGACAGGCCAGACTGACAGGTAAGCTGCTGTAAGGCTGTACAAGTGACACAACAAAAGCAACAGTAGGGTTGACATGACTCACGGTCTCATTCGATATCCAACCTGAGACGGCCAGCTCTTGTATTCCTACTATATGGCAGCTGGGCATGGTGCCACTGTTATACCAGGTAAACATGTCACAACACCAGCCTAAAAAAACAAGGCTTTCTGGCTTTTCTATTTGAGATTCGTGAACATGATCACAGCAGGCTGATTAGAAAGAGAGTGGTGGAAAACAAGAGTGCAGGTGAGGCTGGCAGTGCTCTAATTTTATGGTCTGCTATTTAGACATTTTTAACCAAAGTGACATACAGTGCACTAATGGCAGGGACAGTGTCCCTGTAGAACAACCTAGTTTTGTGTGCCTTGCTCGAGGGCGCAATTATATATGGTTCACAAGGTACTGTACCTCTCAGTTCATGGGTCACCCACACCCTGGACTGAGCCTACAATCTTTGATTAAGCAGCACAGAGGCTCAGACACTGTGTGTGGTCAAGCCTAAACACTAACAAAAGAAAAAGAAAAAGAATAATGTGAAATATTAGTTTAAAACGTCTGTTTTTTATTTATCCATGTGATGACAAAGCTGACTTTTCAGCAGCCATTACTCTAGTCTATTTGGTACTCGAGAAACTGTTTTTTTTGAAGTATCAATGCTGAAAACAGTAGTTGTGCTCCTTAATATTTTTGTCAAAACCAAGATGCATTTTTCAAGATTTTTCTGACGAGTAGAAAGTTCAAAAGAACTGATCTGAACAAATATTTTTTAACATTTACATGCATTTACTGTCACATTTGATCAACTTAATGCATCATTGCTAAATAAAAGCAGTAATTTATTTTAAATAAAAATCTGACTTCAAACTTTTGAACATTATTGTGTACACATATATATTGTATAGTTAACCAATAATTTATATACAAACATTTTTGTGTTTCTTGTAACAAAAAATGTTTTTTGTCAGCCTACCAATGGCTGCTAGCTTGACTCAAACATGGAAAAATATAGTCAACATCCACAAAATACTTTCACCCTTTGTCTTTCTCTTTTAATTTTTCCATTCCTCTTTCAATATATACTGTATATCCAAAGACATGATATCAAAAGTTGTTTTTTATGACTCTGTTCCAGTTTGACAGGCTAACACCCATGGAGGCCATGCCAAATGTGCCTAGAAATAACACCGGGCCTCCCTACGGTCTCTGAGATTGCCCACCTAGGAGCCTGGCACACACCATGGCGCACGCAAAAACCCTGGTGGATTAAACTCATGTAGCATATTTCATAATGCAATGCAGACTCCCAGCTTTCCTCCTCTATCTGCCCTCATTGTCCCAGTCGGCTGCCGACAGGCAGGCGCAAATAATTGCTCTGGCTGCTTCTGTGCCCCACCTCACCCGTTCCAGACGGGTATATCCGAAACACGAGTCATTAATAACAATGACACAAAGCGTTACTACATAAACACTTAGCGAATGGCGGGCGCTGCGCGCCACACACCTCCACCACTCTCCTGTTCCCCTGTAATCGGAGCAGTGAGGTAATGAATGTGGAAGATAACCCCTCCACTGGGCAGAAGGGGAGATAAAGTCGAAAGTGATTAAGAAGAGGCGGGAGGTGAAGAGGAGGTGGTTGGAGACGCTGCTATGGGGTCCTCACAATAGGTGCAGGTGTAGCAGTACATTCTGGACAGGAGCTGCTCTGACAGGTGACCACAAAACTACTGAACAAGCAGGTAATTACCTGACCAAGGTAATTTACTGGACTAAGTGCCACTTTTGCCGCCCTGTTGGTGTGACTGTGTGCAATTATGCACAGAGGTCTAACAATGGAACATGTGTGCCATTCACGAGGTGGGCTGAGCCCACCGGCCCGAGACCACCAAAGACACACATACGCCACGTCAACTGTGGACACAAAGAATGACAGAGACAAATGAACGCTCAAAATGAAAGGTAAGTGTTGACTATGACTTTAAACATTACTTTACGCTGGCATAAGCCAGCAGAAGTATGTTATTTTGATGCCTATAATGACCATCTTATCAGAAAGCTGCATCTTTAATTTGTGGAAGATGACTGACAACTCTGACAGCTACACTAGTTGATGTAAAAGCAGTCTATTTTTATTTTTAAACATCACCTGATATGAGACATAGCATGCATTCATTTTGTATCTGTGCTGCTTTGTTTCATGTACAGATCTCATTATTCGTAAGACACATGATTAGGCCTCCTGTATGACAAATAGGCAACCTCTTTTTAAGTCTCAGTCCGACAATTTATTGAAAATACAGGCAATTTTAGATCCTATTTATTTATAAGACCCTTGTTTTTCATCTCAGCTCCCTATGAATCTGGGGTTAACAGCTGTCAGCGCTCTTTAAAGAAACTTTATGATTATATGATGTTTACTGGAATCAGCTATCAGAGCTACCAATTTGGTCCAAAACTTTAATTCACCGCATATATGCATATACTCAAACAAACACACACATACAAGTAAAGCTGCATCTGTTGCTGCATCTGGATGCGCTCTTCAAATACTACTTTTCTCCCTGTCCATTTTGTAATAGCAATCAGGATACAATCAAGATCTTTTCTTTAAACCCCACATTAATTTCTGTTTGATGTCAATGATTCAAATAATAAATTTAAAATCATATCCAACAGCACAGCGTGTGCAAATGATAAAAGCTTGTGTGAAATAACGCACCTCCCTGCCCATACAATCATTTCGGCAATAATGTAATATTGAGGAATAAAAGGCCCTAATAAATGAGTTGGAGTTGTCCGCTTCCTGACGCAGTCTCTACCCTGTGCGCGAAGACATCATTATGCTGAGACAAATGAGAGTGCGTATGTGTACGCGGGTGCGTGCGGATCTGTGCGCACGAGCGTGTTTGTGTGGATGGGAGTCTTAAGAGCTCACTCAGAATTCACATCCATCTAGACGAGCGGCGGGCTGATAATAAACGCCCCTCAGCCTGATGATGGCTTAATTACCAGTGTAAAGAAAGTGTTTAATCTCTGACCCGTTTCATGTTCTCGCCACTCTCTTTCTCCGGAGAGTGTGTGTGCGTGTGTAAAAGACACTGCTGCGTCCCACTCGTAGAGAGACCCCTGCCGTCTGCCAGGGGCCTGTAGGGTGCAATTAGAAACCACTAAATGAAGTTGACTATACGGTTTCATTTTTCGCTTTCTCTTTCTCCACCCCCTCCTCCTCTTCAGCCTGCATAATTAACATGGAAAACTATGCATTGTGCCAGAGACAAAAGTCTAGAATCTCAAAACAGCTGCTGTTATAAGTAAAATATGGTTTTAATAATATATTAAATATATATGCAGCTTAATATATTAAAACTACATTATCATCATCTCATGTGCACTGTCAGGAAAAAATATTACCTTTAGGACACTCAGCACCCTCTAAAGATACTAATATGTACCCTTAAAGCAATAAATATGTAAATTCATCATTTACTCACCCTTATGTTGTTCCAGTGTTATGTTCCTTATGTGATTGTATGTCTGTCTTTCTTCTGCAGGAACATAACAGAAGAAATTTAAAAGAAAGCTAGGGTCTCCAACTACGTACAAACAAAAACAACCAAAACACATTTTCCAAAATGTTTAATATGTACAGGTTTGAAACAACATGAGGGTGAGTAAATAATCACTGAAATTTAGATGAACTATGCCTTTAAAGTATCAATATGAACCCTTCAGGGGTAGATAGGGTACAAAGGTGTACATTTTAAGGGTACCGGCCGAGTAACCCCAGCTGTTGTACACCTATAAATGTGCTATTTTACACACTTACACGCTTTTAAAAAACAATACTCAGACTCTGAAGGCTCAGATATACTCCAAGTGATACTGAATAATGAACTGCTGTGACGTAATTTCAAACAGGGCTCTGAACCGGTTCAAGGAACGAAAACGAAAACCGGAAACGAACGAAATTTTGACAGGAACAGAACCAGTACCAGAAACTAAATCAAATTTTATAGTTCCGAATGGAATCAAACATTTGAAATGGCCATTAACCGGTTAATAACGTTATTTTATCGTTCCATTTAATATTTGAAATTTGGATAGTGTAAGATGGATTCAACAGATCACACGCACCTGCAGCGCTTCTGTGAATGGAGAAAACAGAATAAAACTGTAGGCTTACATAAAAAGGAAAATATAGGCCTATACACTAAAT